AACTGGTAAAACCGACCTCAGCCTCAGTGGAGAGAAGCTTTACGGCATATCCATTTATAGGAAGGATGGCATAACTGGGTTATCCAAAGTGAAATATTTCCACTAGTATTTGAGGTCCACAAACTTAAGTTAGTTTTGAGAAAATGTTCCATGAGATAATCATGAGTTTCCTAGAATCCTTGTTTTCTACTTCATGTTGTTTAATATCAGAGAAAAACACACACCTGAACTACCCTATTTTGTCTTCTTAATCTGTAGACTGTGAAGCTTTAGACACTTAAGAAATATCTTTCTGGGGATAGGGCATTTTGAACTCTCCTCTCTCTCTCACTCACTGAAGAATGTGTTAAGTTAGTGTACGACGTCCTCACTTGGTTCTTATTTATTACTCCTTTGTCAAGATTCTTTATGGTGCCCAAGTTATGATTACAGAGAAGTGTTATCAAATGTCAATGTGTGGATGAGATCTGGAAGGTCTGGGGGCGGGGAGGGGAGGTTCTTTAAATGGAGATGTCAGCTCCAGCCAATTTCAGAATGGCTCACCATGAAGATTGATGGTGCCAAAGCTGTGTGCCTCTGCTGGAAATTCAAAACCCATGGAATAACTGATTATGATTAATTTTAAGTACTTAGCTGTGTGAAGACAAATGAGAGCATCTTTAAAACAAAGCTATTGATCTGGGTTTATTTGGAACTGAGAAGATAAACTAATCAGATCCTGTCAGCTCCTTGCAATGACAGGGAATGAGAACTTTGTTTTTCCTCCCCATAGGTTCTTAAGCCTCAAGTTTGAGAGACCTGGTGTACTTGGGTATCAATACATATTTTTGAAGAGCAAAAGTCTGAGGAAAGAGGAGCTGTCCAACTCTGTCTCAGAGAAGGGGGTGAGAGGGACAAGGGCTTGGAGGGGAGAAAGCGCCAGCCAAAAAAATACCCTAAACCCATTGCTGTCAAGTATATTCCGACTCATGGTAACCCTATTTGTTACAGAGTAGAACTGTGCTTCATATGGTTTTCTTGGCTGTGATCTTTACGAAAGCTGATCGCTGAGCCTTTCTTCTGTGGCGCTGCTGAGTGGGTTTGAACCACCAACCTTTTGGTTAGTTGTTGAGCACAAACCATTTTGCACCACCCAGGGAAGTTAGGGAAGCAGAAGCACCTCCTATGTAGTACATAAGTCGTCTCTTCTTAAAGTTGAGCAAACAGAGACTCAGAGAGGTTAAGTAGCTGCCAAAGTCCCATGGCCCCCTAGGATTCCACACCCAGGTGTGTCTGACTGAAAGCTCCCTTCTCTATCCCAGACTGCCTTCTTGGCTGAGGTAAAGCCACACCACTCCCAGTCCAGAGAGCTAACATGCGGCTGTCAAGTCGTCACCGCTGTTTCAAGGCAGCTGGTGACTTCCATTTCCTGGTCTCTTCCCAAGAAATTTTCTCATCGTTCTCATTCTTTCTTGCAAGGGAGTAAAAAGGTGATATGCTCCTAGCAGCCCTTTCTACAAAGGCTTTTCTCAGGCAGGGAAAATCATGCCTCTCCTTCTCAGCCCCAGCCTCCCTACAAGAGAAGACCTCGGTTACTACATTTGGGCTGGCATCCTCTCCCTAGCAGACATACATTTGTTGCCAGTTCTGGGGTCAGAGTTTGGGTGAGGGAAGACCATTCATCTTAGGAATGACAACCTGACCTCCCTGGCTGTAGGTCCTTCCTATTCTGTACCAGGAATTCTTGGCTTTCATCAGATTTCAAGCAGCTTGCAGCATCAGCATCCCCTCTTATTTCCCGTGATTCCTCTTGGAATCACCTTCCTCTTAACAATGTGGAGATGCTACTGCCTGTGAGGCCAGGTGAAAAGGAAGGTGGAAGGAGGACCTTCCTTCCCTCCTTTTTCCTTCGTGTACAAAGAGACACTGTAATATATTCATTCATGCATTTGTTTGACATTCATTCATTCTTCTGGAAGTCAGAGACAGGTAACTTGTGACTACGTAATTTTTTATTTAGGGGGATGCTCAACAAATCCTACTGTCTTATCATTCCCTGGATAGAACTGTATCACCTGAATTATTTTTAGAACCAAGCAATTATAGAACTTGGCAAGGGGACATCAACTCCAAGATATAACAACCAACCCCTTCGTTTTACAAATAATAAAACTGAGGCTCAGAGAGCTGAAGGGACTCGCCCAAGGTCACCTAGCCAATTTGTGGTAGAGTCAGGACTGAACCATGAGTCTCCTGATGCAAGTTCGACCAGGCTTTATTGCCTTCCTCTGGGTGTTTCCCCAAATCAGGGGCAGCTCAAAGTGTAGCTCTCGTCAGAGGACATTCAAAATGTTTTCTTACACAATTCAACTTTAGTTTGAATGACCCCAAGATTGACTGCCAGTAGACTTTCCCCCCAGAAACCAGGTTTCCTTAGTTAGACCCATTTAAAAATCCAGAATGGAGAAAGACAGCCACACGTTTTTCTCCACAAGGTTTCAGGGGTAGGACTATGGGGAGGGGGCCACCTCCTCATGTCTGTTTTTTTCTTTTTTCTGCCACTTTAAGGTTACTGCTTAAAGTTTGAATTTAAAAGCCTAGATGAGATTCTAGAAGCAATGGCCATGACTGGACTTTACCAGGCTGTTTGGCATTTCCCCCCATCCTGTACCAAGCTCCCTTTCTGATTCAGGGCGCTAACCCCTCTCCCGTCTCTCCAGACCTGTAACCTGTCTCACCGCATGCCCACACTCACACAGACTCCCTGGATGCTCCGTCAGGTGCTGGGGGGCTACTCCAGCCCATCTGCTTCACCCAGCAACAAATACGGCGGGAGCATCATCAGGGGAGAAAGGACTCAATTGAGACTTAATTAGCAGGAACCCCAGTTCGTGGGAGGTGAGAAATCACACTTTGCTGTCTGCAAACACTTTGGCCAAGGTGAGCCAGAGGGATCTCCCCGTTCCCAATTTTAACAGCACTGCAGCAGAAGACACCAAGATGCATCCACACGGAACCCCCTACACACACACTCCTCCTCTCTCCTCCTCACCCAGACACACACACACTCGCACACACAAGCCAGTGAACGCAGAATCAACTCACAGGATCTCCAAATCGCGCAGCGCTCGGAAGGCTCCATCTTCAATGCAGCTGATGTGGTTGTTGTCCAGTTGCCTGTGGAAAAGCAAGGGGAGAGCATGAGGGCTCAGTGGGGGCAGCGCTGGGGAGCCGGGCAGCCCGGGCTGGGCGTCCCTGGCCACCGAGCGCCTGTCCCTCCACCCCCTTGCAGGCTCTGCTCGTCCCCGCCAGAAGCTCGCGCCGAGCCAGCCTGCCTGCCACGCTGCTCCGTCTCTCCTCTCTGACTGTCTGAGAGAACTGCACAGACGAGCACACCAAAAGCTGTCAGGTCTCAGTAAATATTAATTGCGCATTTTTTTTTTTTTTTTAGGCAGAAGGGAGTAATTTCATTACATTAGGGCATCCAATCCATTACGAGCTCTTACCGTCATGTCACTGAAACAATTTCATTAAACTAAAGGCCTGTAAATCATCGGAGGTCACTGCTCTGCCCTCCGCGACCTCCCAGAATGCTTTCCTCCTCTCTCCCTCTCCCTCTTCTCCCTTTTACTGGAAGTTGCAGTCTTCGGCTCTGACACTGTGCTGAATCTCAAGGCTTTATCTGCCCAAGAGCAGCGAGGGTGCATGGGGAATATACCAATTCCAAATTAGACTCAACTAATCTAATTTTATAGTCTTTTTATTATTCTAAGCACCAAATGTCTGTGGTGGTTTGATGCCTCCTGCTCTGTGATGGGGTCCATCTGGTAGGTCATTCTATGGAAGCATTTTCTGACTAAATACAGATTTCCTTAAACTGCACCAACCATCATCAACATTAAAGAAATCCATTGATGGAAGCGCTCATGACGGGGAGAAAAAAAAGAGTATCGTTATTGCCTTAAAGATGTACCACTGAAATTTAAATTGGGGAGAATTAAATGCACCTATTTCAGCCTGTTTTTAAATGTCCCTTTCCATCCTATAAGTAAGAAAATAATGTCTTTTAAAAAAGACCTCTTAACTAATATACATTTCATTTGGGACTGAGGTATTTTAGTTGAAGGATAAGTAAGATAAATTACATGTAAATCAAAATATATATGATATGTAAGTCAGGATATTTACTGTGAAGATACCCCAATTTAAATATCATATATATAAACCCATTTTATTTTTTAAGAAGATGCTATACAGAAAATGGTTATTAACACAAGATCGTCTATTATACTTTGCCTGCAAACTATATTACCGTCTTCAGCAGGGCTGGCCGAAAAAATGAGGGCTGTACTGAAAACACGCGCTTATAGATTTTCCCCCCCTTTTCTCTCAGAACAAATAAAACCCTCTCAGGTGAAGTGATTTCCTGGTACTAGAATTGTTATTTGTTACTCCCGCTAATCTATCCCAAGACAACTCTCCGAAAAAAGGGCAGCAAAGTTGTGTAAGTTACCCTCACGAAAGGCTTCGTATTTTGCAGAAGGAAGGTAGCATTAAAGTTAAAATATTATTATTATTGAAAATTTAGATGTAGGATTATGGCAATGCACATGAATGAAATACTATAGTATAATTAGAGCAGTGATTGTGTCTCACAAAGACGGCACTGCTACAATATCATGGGGAATTGTATCATCTCAATAGACACGATACAAGAATTAGACATTTAGAATTTTTTTAAAAAACTCAAGAAATGGGTATTAAGAAGCAGAAGCATTCTTTAGGTTGACGAGGTCTATATCTTTGATGAAGTGTTCAAGGTTCTTGCTGATGCCTACTCACATGGGATCTCACTGAGTCCTCCCTGCCCCGAATTCTCCAGGAAGCCTTCTTAACATTAGTTTGCTGAACATCTTTTTCGTGGGTTTCTCGCGAGTGTCGGGCCGCCGATTCCCTGCAGAGGTTCTATTAAGACAATCTAGTACTGCCGTCCAGCTTCTAGATTTATCATCCATTTAACGGCGGTGAATCAACAACCCCTGCCCCATGCCAAGGCCACCAAACCTTACCAAGCACAAAAGCAGTGGACTTAGCTTTTGGCTCCAAGAAACTTTTCAATGAATCTGCTGAATTCGGCAAAAACAGCACCATCCGCCTAAGCAGAAAAGTATCTAAATCATCAAATTGGGAAGTCTGGGGTGGTGTGTAGAGACGACGGTAATATGTGGCGTATCTGCTTTTGTGCAGACATTCTGAGAAGTCCTTTCTATTGCTATATTATTTATTTGCTGGATTTATGAAGCCTTTTCCACTCCTTTCTGAAAGCACCAGGAACCAAACAGGATACTTTAAATACACAGAATTTTACATGGAAAAGATAGAACCTGCAGGGGAGAAGAGAAAGTCAGAGGAAGAAGAGAAAAAAATGAAGTGGTGGAAGATTTAAAAAAGGAAACAAAGAGATGGGAAAAAGATTTAGAAAAACGTCCACTACTCAAATGTTCCATCAGGGTCTCTGCAACCCAAGAGACTTAAGCGATGGGGACAAAGAGTCTTAGTGGAGCACCCTGATCATTTTAAGTTTAAAAGGATAGATGTCTCATATACTATCAATTATGTGATGTTTAAATATTTTCACTGGTGGCACAAGTTGACACCTAGCTGTTCATTAGTAACGAAGAAACTGAGCTTTACTATAAATACAAGCATCTCTGTGGGTGCGTTTTGTAGATTATTTTAAGATATATGAAATATATCAAAATCTAATATATTCATGCTTAAGCGTGCTTTTCTAGAGGACATTTATTATAACCAAGATTGCCTCCTTTCATTCTCGCTGCAGATGTATTCCAGCCTCGATCGCCAAAGAGCCATTCTCAAAATACACCACTACATAGCAATGTGATCCCTATGAGGGTCCAGTTGGACAAACGAAACCACAACAGTTACTCCACTTCCCAGCTATCATATCTTCATAGCAATGAGCATCAGAGTGTTAAAAATAAATAAATAAATAAAAGCCTAATCGATTGTCCACAATCATTCCTGATACATTGTGCAAATAGCTAGGTCCCTAAAACAAAATAAATACACACTTAGCTTAGGTAAGGTTTCTTCTTCTTTCTAAAAATTATAGCCCAGAGGCACAAAAATTAGTCTAAAGCACCAGGGGGGGTGGGTTTGGGGGGTGAAATACACACAAGCCTAGCTTTTCTTCGAGCAGGTTTGAGTGGAGAGCTAGTAAACACACAAGAACCTTCCAGAGCTGAGGCCATGGCATTTGACTTAGCAGTTTGCTTCTGGAGGTTGATGGGACCAGAGGCCACCGACGTGTGTCCAGAGTTCTCACGTCAAAGGTCTATATTATGCCTTTGAAAGAGCTCGTTCGAAGACCCTCTCCAAAACAAATCAGAAAAACCTGCTGCCCACCCTGCACCCTGCACGCCATTGCTCAGGAAGCAATGTGCAAAAGGAACTCAGCAGTCTTAGAATGCCTAATAGCTCCCTTTCTATTCTTCCTTGGCAATAGGGAGTATGTTTTCCACCACTATTGAATCTTTTCTTGCCACACAAAATAACTTACCGCGGGCCTAGCACAGTGCCAGGCCTTTGCAGGTGGTTGCTAAAGATTGCAGAATGAGTCCTCCTATTGTCCGTGTGCCAGGATGGGCCAGACCGTATGGAACAAAAGCTGTGAGTCACGAGCTATACCGTCCTGGCTGTGACCCTACAGACCTACTAGTAACAATAATAAATAATGACCAAGCTTTCCTCTATGTCCACATGGGGCTAAGTGCCTTCCAGGCTTCCTGAGACCCAGGGAGCACTTGGGAAGGAGACTTGGAAGAAAGTGAGCTCTCTATGGGCACAGGGTGAAGAGAAGGGGCAGAAGAGCAGTGAATTGAGGGAAGAAAGGCTACTTTTTGGAGGCAACTTTTGTTGCCCTCTACTTTATAAAGAATTCTCAGTTTGATTTACATTCTCCTGCCTGTGAATAAGCCGAGAAGCCCCTAAATATTCATAATATTAAATGAACTGCTCTAATTTTCCTGGGAAGCTCAGATTTCAGCAAACAACGTATTAAAATGGTTCCAGCGCCCATTTAGAAAGGAATCCTCAGTCAAGAAGCAAAGGCAGATGCCCTGAAAAGAGCTTTCTGACTACAGTATTTTTATACTCTGAGGAGATAAACGAGTCAGAAAGGAAAGCCAGCGTGAGTGAGGGCTTAAAATAATCTCCACAAATAGCAGACAGGGAGATTGCACTTTTATAAGAATTCCCATTCATAAGTATAATATACTCCTATTATCATAATACATCTCTTTCAATTACAATTTCAGATTTCATCATTGAAGCAGGATGAAAATATTTTTGTGGTTCAGAAATTTAAAGAAGCGCATCTAAATCCTGGGGTTAAAAGAAACCAACAAAAACATACACATA